TAAACTTCTGATTAGGCAATCAAGGCATATTGAAGAAACTTTTGAATGTCGCAAATTACCTTCTGCTTTGACAGTTTGAAGGCATCCGGTAGCCAGCATGCATTAAAGGCCTGGGGAGAACTCTGGATATATGATATCAGGAGTAGATAATAGGGAAGGAGTGTGACATCAATAAACAAGGGAAATTCTTCTTTTACTAGCCTTATAATACCTACGATTTATTACGCGTAACTCATCCAACTTGAGCTCAAATCGGACACAGTACGACCTATCGTACACAAATAGGTCATGATTAGCTCGTCGAGTGTTGCGTCGATGTCCAATCTCCCCGCGAGCCACACCGCCACATTCCACATTCCGAGAGAGCAAACACAGCGACCGCGCGGCAGTGTAGCTGCCTTTTGTTTTAATTAGAGGCGCGCAATGGATTTGGATTGATGGCCAAAGAATGGAGAATCGTGTCGTACGTTTTAGTCTGTATCTCCGGATTGCGGGTGTATACGAGGAAACGATTTCGCACGATGCTATGCGAATGTACTGTGTCCGATTTGAGCTCAAGTTGGATGAGTTACGCGTAGTAAATCGTAGGTATTATAAGGCTAGTAAAAGAAGAATTTCCCTTGTTTATTGATGTCACACTCCTTCCCTATTATCTACTCCTGATAATGATATCATATATCCAGAGTTCTCCCCAGGCCTTTAATGCATGCTGGCTACCGGATGCCTTCAAACTGTCAAAGCAGAAGGTAATTTGCGACATTCAAAAGTTTCTTCAATATGCCTTGATTGCCCAATCAGAAGTTTATGTGTGTTTATGGGTTTGCTTATGACATGGTGTATTTGACTCTAATTAGTAATCAGGGATTAATTCCCAGATTGCCTGACGTGCCTTCTGAAACTCCTGGTGAGAACCTCGATATCTATGTATGTATTCACTATCCAAACTGCAATACATCAGCTCATCCTGAGACCTAGGCTGTAGCCTCTGGTCTGTGGTTGGGAGGTGGGGAGGAGCCTATTTTGGAATAAAAACATGATACTTGTAAATAACGATCAAATAATTGTAATTCATCATGTAATCATCCGTGAAACTCATCTGTCTCTCACCATGTATGTTGACTGGAAGCCACACAATTCCATGATAGTTACTGAGCTGAGTCATGAAGTTTTGCTCCCTCTAAAAAATTTCCTCAAGAGATGTCCATGAAGGGCCAGGAATTTGCTCATGTGAAGGATTTATATGTATATGTATAATTAAGCAGATATTAAATTTATACATATAATTTAATTGTGTGTAATACATAATAATTTGTTGTCCCTTTTATTGTATGATTAGAAGAGAAAAGGTGGATGGCCAAAGGGTAAAAAGCGCAAAAGAGCAAGAGATGAGAATGCACCAAAGCAACCACTTACTGGTAATCTTTAGTCAAGACTCTATTTTAGTAAAGTGTTGAGTTGGGAACCCTTTTCACAAAACATGCATAATTTGTAACTTTGCCAGTCAAGCAGCATGAGGAAGCAGAAGGTTTATAAATGTAAAGGGTTAAATGATATTTTCAGGAAAAGCTGAGCAGAAAATTTGTTTCTATTAAAAGAACAGCTCGTACATGAGTTGCTCAGGAAGCTGTATATTAGATTTTAAAATCCTCATGTACCACATGCTGCTCTAAGAATGGCTGTTGCCCTTTGGCAGTTTCTGAAAAGCTCCTTTCATGTAGGCTCATGTATTCATGGAATTCTCTTTCAAATGCATTCCTGCACGTTTTTCAATTTCAACTAAATTAAATTGAGCAATTGTTGTCTTTGAAAGCAAACGAAGGGTAGTTATATTTTTAGCTCATCTGACATAGTCAGATGCAGCTTGTAGAATCGCTTGATCGTCCGTCCGTCCGGTCGTCCGGTCGTCCGTCAACAGTTGGGCACAAATCTTAACCGCTCGACGTACGGTCACGATATTCGGGTCGTTGGGGGGGATCGTCAAAACGAATAGAACATACTAATAACTATGGCAATTTCCAGGTAGTAAGCAAAGACAACTTTTTTGCGCTTAATAACTTCTTCAGTACGCCAAATAAAGCACATTCTCTGTCGCACAAATGTCTTAAGTTACTGCAAATACAAAAATTAAACTGCAAACTAACAGTTAAATGTTGTACTTGCTATATTACTCGTCGACGAAGATTATTTATTAACTTGTCACCGCCATTTATTGTTGCGCGGCGCTAGCGTGGTTCCGGCGCTAGTGAGCGGGCACAATGTATTTCCAAGTGGAAGGGTGGGCAGGTTTCACGCGGTTGCAAACCGCGCTAGCGCTGCGCAACAAAAAAATGGCGGTTTGCAACCGCATGCAACCTGCCCATCCCTCCACTTGGAAATACATTGTGCCCGCTCACTAGCGCGACTGGCGAAAAATGGCGGTTACAAGTTGGTAAATAATCTTCGTTGACGAGTAATATAGCAAGTACAACATTTAAGCATTGGTTTGCGGTTTAATTTTAGTGTTTATAGTAAACTTAAGACATTTGTGCTGCAGAGAATGTGCTTTATTTGGCATACCGAAGAAGTTATTAACCGCAAATAAGTTGTCTTTGCTTACTACTTGGAAATTGCCATAGTATGTTCTATAGCCCTGCGGCGGAGCGGAGGGTTATAGTTCTAGAGCTAGGCTAGACCATACCGCACACTGTCTGTCACGACACTAGCGGTTCAAGGATAGAGATGATGTCCAGGATGGTGATAGGATAGGATGTTTATTACTGGACATACACTAACTCTAGAACAGTATGTATAGCCTTTCGCTCCACCACACTGGGCCCTTCACAGGCGGAAGGCCGAAGGGCTATCGTTCTAGAGTGTGGGACCCGGCCCCACGTTTTCGCAAATGTGCTATTGCTAAAGTAATCCGTGGTGCTAAACTAGGATTGGGCCGTTTCGTGATAGTATTAAAGTAGGCACGAACTGTATTCCCTACCAAAGTATAAATGTTTATCACTATGTACTTTCTATCGCCTAATTTTATTCCACTTCCAAGACTAATAATAATAATTCCATGTAACTGGCAGTCAAATAGTGCCGTATTATACAATCTTACTGCACACACGACAATCAATTTGATGAACTTTCTCTCTCTTTCTCTCTCTCTCTCGCTCTCTCTCTCCTTTACTTTGAAGACTAATCATTATCATGAGGTTATGGGGGTAAAAACTCGCAAAAGATGGAGCAGGTGTGAAATCTGACTAGAACGCTGGTCATTTTGTTTTATGCCATGACATCACAAACTTGTACATAACTATTCACCTTCACCTATGTGGTGTTATCCATTTTCTTGGAATTATTCGGCGATAGAGAGTACATAAATATTAATACTGGTAATAAATACACTTTGTGTTCATTTACTATAATCTTATTATTGAAAGGGCCTAAGCAGGGCTCAATTTTAACAGTCGTCTGGTCGTTCGTGACGACTGGATTTTCTCTCGGGCAACTACAAATTGCTTCCGTGGTTGTCCGGTGTCCAACCTCTATAAAATTTTTATATTCATAATGCACGCAGTCATTTTACATACGGCCAGGGTTGCACAATACGCTGCAAACGTACATGTCTAGACGCATTGTATTTTGTCTGGCTTGCTTGATACAAAGTATAACATCACGTGTTTAACAACACAATAGGCGTGGCGTGTTCACACACAAGAAAAACCGCGATGCTAATCGCGATGGAAATACCGAGATAATTGTGTCGTTGTTCACACAGGCAGAAATATCTTGCTAATCGCCGAGCGGAATAATTCTATTAATCGAACTGCGCATGCTCACTGCCGGAATGATGCTCACTGCTCACTCGCTTGGAATGATGGGATAGAAAATACCGGGATTATTTGCGCGAGCGTTCACACATGCAAATAATCGCGCTAAAATACCGGGATTATTTGCGCGAGCGTTCACACACGCAAATAATCGCGCTAATTCCAAATAATCGCAGTCAAAAGTGCAATTTGGAGCGCGATGCTGATCGCGATTAATAATTCGAGATTATTGGCGTTCAGCACTTGTAATAATTCGGTATTTCGATCGCGTGGCAAACCGGGGATTTGCATCCCGCTACATTGCGCCAGTGTGAACGCGGCCTAAATGTTTCGTGTTAATTTCAATTTTTACTCAACTGTGACTTGACACAGTGTTATAGACTATAGCCGTCCTGCGTCGTTCTTTCAGTCTTGTGATCCCTCCCGGAGGAACATGAAAATCTTTTGTAATAAAGGGGAATATGAAACAACAATTTTTCATCTTATCCCACGTCCTGAGGCTCGCGAGTTTTTAGTAATTTGGTGGGAAAATTTAGGAAATTCAGCTTATTATTCACCGACAAAGCTAGTTACATGACCGTAGAAATGTCCATTAGGTTACCGCGTTGCAACGCATCCCGCGCTAAGAGTGAATAAATATCCAATCGAGAGGCCGTACTACTACGCGCTATGTTTGTTTATACCCAACATGACCTGTGCCCACGAGCCATTGAAATCTGTGTTATTTACACTTATTGTCACAACCCACGGTGTTTCTTGTGTGAAATTTACACGGTGCTTTCATCGATTCTTTCTAAGATTTACTGCGCCACGTTTTCTACGCAGTGTTGCACAATTTGGAATGATTTAGTGGGCATGCAAGCTCAATTGCGAAAATGTCATCGCATTCTGATCACTTCATGGGATGGAGTCAGCTGCCGCTGGGCCACTAGCCCGGACAGGCTGTGGCGACGGATTAACGCCTAGCAATACCGTTTCTTGAGTATACTGGGCCGCATGCCGTGCCCTTGCTTGCCACGAGATGGGGTTTCACGCGCAATGCTACCGCAGTATTTTACAGATTGCCACCAAAGTAAAGCGGGGATTAGTTTGCAAGAGAAACTGGAGGTTGCATCTGTTAATGGTAGCCTCCTGGGACATACATATTAAAACGCTACATATGTAACTCTCCGGTGTAATATTAGTTGGGCAAAGAAGAACTGGAGCTGCATCCTGTTAATCGGTACACATACTATAAAATGCTAACTCTATGTAACTGCTAGGGTTACAACCACTTGACTTGAGTTAACTGGCAGCAGCGCACGAACGCGTAGACTAAAGTAAGACTAGTAGAGTATTGTAAGCTGAGTCTTAGTAAAGTACGACCTGCTCTTAGTCAGCTATGCCTCATGGCTATAGCCAGTGCACTGTACGCGGGCTATATAACTAGTTACTAAGCTAGAGTAAGACTAAAATTAAAGTTTCTGTACGTTATTATGCAGTACACATTTTCTTAACATTTGTATTATTATTATTATCTTATATCGTCCCACCTTTATGTAAAAATTACAAGCTTGATTTTTCCCCTTGAAGCCCTCATACTAGTACTAGTATGGCTGATAGGGTCTATGTCCCGCAAGGGTACTATCCGGAGGTACCCTGGTACGGTTCGTATATATCGAAAGTAACGCTGTCGGGGTACTATCTGATATGTCGCTGCGTACGCTGGCATTTTATCCACCGTACCGCTGCTTTCACACAACGATATCAGTGCCGCTCTGTGAAAAGCGTGTGACAAAAATATTGAGCTTAAATTGATGAATCTCAATTAATATGAATAATTGAGAAAAATTAATAAAAGGCTGTAGTCTCGTTTAATGTTACTCATTGTATGCTATCACTTACTCATAAAATAAAATGGTTTGATATTGACATCAAATATAACAAAACTCAATATGCACTGTGACGGCGGCAATACTTGGCGGCGGTAATACTCACCAACCAGTATCAAGGGGAGAAGCATAAAATGTTCTCCAATAAATGTCATTTTTCTGGCAAAAAACCGATATGTTAATATTGGTTCGTGCATGATTTTCGATGATCCAGTTGGCTTAAAGCTCAGGTTATGGTGTGACAATGCAGGTACGGCAGACGACATCTCGTATATACCAGCCGCGGTACTTTCTGATAATATCGACCGTATATCCCAGGTACCCTCCGATAGTACCCTGGGGCACAATGGACCGCTATCAGATAGTCAAGGCTCAGCTTTTGATGACGGCATCTCCTTTTATTCTTTTTAATATTGCCATTGTGATCTATGAGTTTTAATTTATACATTTAGAATTATATTTTACATGTTACATCACAAACCAAAATTTCGCGGGAATATGATTTAACGGTTTTGTATCATTTATTTATAATTATGAATGATCATGTTATACGCTGTTTGCACATAATTTGAAATATGTTTAGTACTTACTTATTCATATTCAATTTGGTCTATTGTTTGTTGG